CTTCCTCGAGGCAGTTACACAGTGCTTACAACTGTCTCTTTAAGTGAAAGCACCAGAAAATAAATTAAGTCATACGTAGCTGTCATCCGTACGCAAGGAAGTAAGCACAAGATGCCGAACACCCTTAGCAGGATGCAGCTCACCCTTCATGCGACTCGCCAAATACCTCACGGCGCTTCGCGCTTGGTGATGTGAGAGCCTGGTCCGGTGAGAACCCGGCGTGCTCCGTCCCGGCTTTGTAGGGATGCGAGGTCAATGGTCAAACGACTACGGCATGCACGACTATGAGTACACCCCCCCCCCCCCCCCCCCTACTATTGTTGTTTTTTTCTCCACTTGCCCCACCATTTATCCCACCCAACGTTGATTCCACCCAGGGGTGCGCTCGATCCGCCCCCGGCAGCGGGAGTTGGGGACACCGCGGGGGGGAAGGGAGTCACGGGCCCCCTCCTCTCCCGCCCGCCTCGCCCGGAGTCGTTCAGGGAAGATACGGAGGTCTCTTTGGAGCAGCGGCACCAGTGCTGCTGCGGCGGCGGCGGGAACTCTGGTGCCAGCGACGCCGTTCGTAGGGGCAAGAATACTTCGGGCGGGGAAGACAGGGATCGTCCCGCTGACACCGGGGATATTGCTGGTGATGCTGCTGGTGGTGCTGCTGCTTCCGGGACGCCAGGGGCTGTAAATAGCGATAGTGCCGGCATGGCCGACCATGAGGCGGCGGGACTCAGCGGGGCTTGCCACGAGCTTGCCGCCGCGGCGGAGTCCGGGTGGGACTTCAGCTCCCGGTGGGCCGGGCTGTCGTCGAGGGGCAGGAGTGCGTCGACGGCAGCGTCATCGGAGGACAGGGACAAGAGCACTTCCTCGATGGAGGGGGAGGACGGGGAAGACGAGGAGGAGGGGGGTGCGTTCCGTCTGAGCGCGACCGCGACCACCTCGGTGGTTCCCGTGGACCTCAACGCCTTCTTGCACCGCGCGGAGCTGAACATCGCCCGGCTTCACCACGCGCTGGCGGGGCACCGAACGAACCGGAAACAAGCGTCTTCTTCTTCGGAGACCGCCGTGGATCCGACGCCACCGCCGACGATGCCGCCGCTTTTGTCCCTGAATGGGATCCAGCGGCGTTTCCTCTCCCGACGGCGTTGCAGCATGAAGTCGTGGTCGTCCATGTCCAGCACCCTCATGGAGAAGCTGGCTCGCCAGGGGGAGCTGGGGTTTGGGTCCGAGGAGGCGGACACGACGTCGCCAACGGCCTCCGGCGGCAGCGGCGGTGGCGGGCTGGGGTTGGAGAGCCGGCCGTTGAGCCGGAAGGCGATGCTTTTCGCGGCGGCGGCTCGTGCGAGGGCGAAGGCCATGGAGCAGACGATGTGGGACGGGAGGTCGGCGTTCTGGAGGGACCTCTTGCTGCCGACAGGTAGTGCACTGGGGGGTACTCATGTAAACGCGATGTACTCGTGTAAACGCATGCCGTAGTCGTTAAACCTCGCATATGCCGGGGCGGAGCGGTCTGTTGGTTTTTCGCGGGCCCAGGCTATTATTATAGTACGTTTCTCATGGATGGGGGGGAGGGGGGCGACGAAAGAGACTTCCGTTGTCGGCGCCGATAGTCCGGAAGCAGACAGAGAGACACGCGGAGTAGAAAGCTGAGACTTGCACAGCACATCCGGGGGGAGGAAGCTTCTTCCTCCCTGTTTTTTTTTGCTCTCACAACGGGATGGTTTCGGGAATGAAGCCCCAAGATTTTGCCCTCATGTATTGGAGAACCCGTACTCTTCCGGTTTGCGCCCATTGCCGTTGAGGAGCCTGGTCGTCGAAAGCAAGAAAGATACGCGCGCCCCCGTCTTTGGTTTGAGGGGATGCTAGGAGAACTTTCCAAACACCCCATGGCTTTCGCTATTCTGAGGTCCTCCTTCGGGAGGGTTTATTATTTATCGACCAAATACTGATTTCTCTTACCCTCATCTCTATCCCTATCCCCGTACCCCGTATCCTCGCGAAGGGTACTGGATCCGGAGTACCCCCCTGCCTCCCGTTCTATTCGATACGCAGGCGATCAGTCCCAGAGTACCACGCCCGCCTGGTTGGTGCCTGGTATGTGGTCCGGTCTAGTATGTTCCAAATACCCCCAGGCTTGCATGGTTCTGCGTAACCCCCCCTCCCCGCCCCCCGCCCCCGTTCTGTTTGACACCTAGGCGAGCAATCCCCGAGTGTCACGCCCGCCTGCTTCGTGCCGATGTGGGCCGGGTTGCCGTGGCCGGTGCTCGACGACGACGACGACAGCGGTATCGCGGAGAGCGCAGATCGCCTGGGGCGCAGCGTCAAAGCCTTGAGGTCGAGCGGTCTCGTGCAGCCCGGCGGGGTGCGCACCTCTCTCGAGGCGAGTCGTCGTGTTCCTCCTTTTTTAGAGAGCATGTACAAGTATACATTTTTTTTGTTTTTTGTCTTCACTTCATGTCAGCTCTCTCACAGAATTTGTGCCGTTTACTCCGACCCATGGTCACATATTCATAAGCACACAGAAAGGCTACCAGATCGAGACATGACAACAGTCATAAGGGATGTGCGGAAGTCTTTTCAGTGAGTGGGAGGGAAACCATTGTATGTATGTGCGTTTTATTTTTAGAAGGTGTATACATAACCTCACAGAAAGACTACCCGTTCGAGATTATAGCCACAGTAGTCGTAAGGGATGTGCTCAAGTCTTTTCAGTGAGTGGAGTTTTGTCGCATGTTCTCTTCGTGGTGTTCACGTACGTCGTAAACATACACTCGACTCGGCGCGTTGGGTTTCATGCCACGGAACATGTCGCTTTTTGGTGTTTTTTCCCCTCGCTAACTCCACCCTATTTGGTGTTAGGCGTGGAGTTGCGGGCCGGGCGAGTAAGAGAGAAGCATGCGGTTGAGCACCTGGAGTCATAGGGATATGCACGCATGTGCGCCTTTACCTTAACGAAACCAGTATTATTATTGCGTCCGCCAGCCCCGGAAATCTGCCTGTTGTGTGTTGTGGGTTGCGAGAGTAGCATGCGGAGGCGATGAATCAAGTTGGAGAAGCACCCTATGCCATACAGCGTGCGATACCTCCCAGGAACGTGCCAGCTTGGCGGCTTGTTTTGGAGCCCACCGGTGCTTGTTTCAACCCTTGCTGTTGTTGCTGCTGCTGCTGCTGCTGTTGTCGTTGTCGTTGTTGTGTTTTTGACTTTGTTTATCCCCTATGTCTGTCTCCGGAAAAACAGGATTCCGGGCAGCAATGGGACGGCCGCAACGCGTGGCCTCCCTTACAGTGGATGATCATCCAAGGCCTGCGCAACTCGGCGAGCGCCTTGACTCCCCCCGCGACGGCAGCAGAGTCGGCCGCCGCGATCACGGCGGGAGCAGCCACCGCCACCGCCATCGCCACCCAGGCCGCGAGACAGCTTGCGTCCGAGGTAGAAGAGGCGTTTTTGGACGGGGCCCTGGCGGGTTGGGAGACGACGGGAGCGATGATGGAGAAGTACGACGCCGATGAGGTTGGCAAGGGGGGCGGAGGCGGCGAGTACAATCTTCAGGTGGGGTTGCCGTCTGTTTGTCGAGCGTGCTACTCGTGGTGTTGTTTTGCGCTTTTGACGGATGGACACCCACCACCGGCAGGAAGAAGTCTTGTCGTGGAATTGTTCGCTGGTGGCTGTAACGCGGCTGTGTCCTTTCGTTTGCCGCAGCGCCGTATGTGTTTCTCTGTAAGGCTTGGGGGACGTGTAGTCTCTGACCGCCGGCGTTGTGTTGTTTGAGCCAGCCTGGTGTATCTTTGTAGGAATGTGGTCTCTCTTCCTTTCGACAGGATGACACCTGTCGCGCGTTAAAACGTGTCCTAAATATCTCAACGACACGTTAGCTGCCAAGATCGTCTGGGCAGACAACGTTAATGTGCGCGTAACGGTTTCAACTTGTTGTTGTTGTCTTGACGATAAAAGCCGTTCCGACCTCTCTACCCAGAACCTCCATCGGTCCGTACTGATCTATCGCAACCCTTGATAGGCGGGTCCAACCCCAACCTAACCCTACCCCTTGTCTGACGATGCAATGATCGCTACACAAAGGTTGGCTTCGGCTGGACAAACGGCGTCGCGCTCGACCTCATCGCAGGGAGCTCGAAGCGGCCGACACTTTTGTAGTCGCGGAGTCATCATCGATCGCACCACAATATCATCATCTGCCGGGCGGATGGTACATACAACATGTTGATACCGGGATGGGGGAAACCCCTGCATGCAATAGAGTGCTGCTTTCTTGACCTCCTCTACCGAATAGAGTGCTGGTTATATGGCATTTCTTGACCCCCTGCATGGGTAGATTGCCCCTTTCATAGCATTTCTTGACCACCTGCATGCAATAGAGTGCTGCTTTCTTGACCCCCTGCACGGAATGGAGTGCTGTTTTTATGGTATTTCTTGATCCCCTGAGTGGCGTTTTTTGCAGTGGTGCACGCGGCCGCGGGGGAGGATGGAGACGGTTAACAATCTTGATACGGGATGGGGAACCCCTGGCATGAATAGAGTGCCCCATTGTATGGCTTTTCTCGACCCCCTGCATGGAATAGAGTGCTGCTTGTATAACGTTTGGGCATGGGTGACCGCAGTGCACACGGCCGCGCAAGAGGAGTGGGGCAGGGACCGGAGGCGTTGCATGTTTGTTGGTTCCTGGCTCGACTCGTTTATGAAGGTATTTGTTTGTGTTCTACCACGGAAATGGTTGTTGTTGCACAGAAAATCACCGGTTGTATGCATATGTAGATTATCTGCCTCTTGGAGACGGGCAGGCAGTTTCCCTGTCCCTCTACAGCAGTAGCACAGGCGTTGGTTCGCGTCCTCCTTTCCTCCCAAAAACAAGAAACAAGTGGTACGTATTTAATCCACACATCGTAGCACACCGCCCATGTACAACGGCAGGGGTTCCCCTTTGCTCCCTCTCTAGTCACCACCCAAGCAGGCATCCGTAGCGTTGCCCCCCTTTGGTTGCGCTTCTTCAAGCTCCAGAAAGACCGCGCTTAACGCTGCCCCCCTGGCATATGGCTCCCATTCGTTGTCACGTCGATCTTTACCGAGTGTCGAAAGTCGCTCGCAAAACGCCGAGGGAGCTGGAAATGTTATTTTCCCCTTTCCCTTGGCATTTGCTTGTATGGTTGGATCCGGGCGCGCGGGGGGGGGGGGGGTCGTATCCCCACAGGAAAGGTAGTTATCGGGATGTTGGCGAGAAGCCCCGCAATATACATTTTCAGTATTCGGGAGGGAGAAGGATTGGCGGCGTCGCGGAGACTCCGCGTGAGAGAGGGTATTGCCGAATTTGTTATGTATCTACAATAGTTCTTGGTATGTGTAATGGCGGTTAAGCGCCGTGGTCAGTTCACACGACGAGCGAACTCTATGCTTGGTGCTGTACGCATGGTGTTGTACACATGGTTTGGTGTTGCTGGGTTTCCATCGTTGCAGCTTTCCCGGAAATGTTCTTTGGTTGTTGGGTTGGTGTTGGGTGGGTTACCTTGCGTCGGGAAACGATTTTTCTTGATGGAGCAACTACTGTAGGAGAGAGAGAGGGGGGGGGGGCGGCGAGAGAGGGAGAGAGAGAGAGTGGGAGAGAGATAGACAGACAGCAAGAGATAGAAGAGAGAGAGGACTGCCGCGAAGCGGCAGTGGCTGTTTCTTTGTGTGTCGGTTGATGTGAGTTTTGTCAACTTCCCGCAACAGGCGAATGTGTACGAAAGCGCTGTAATTTGTGCATTTTCAGACGTCAATGATCAATGAATCCCCCGAAAAACAAACAATGGCTGTTTGGTGAACCGCTTTGTTGCCCATCAATCAGGCAACCGGACAAGAGACACGTGTGAACTCAGCATCACAGATTCGCGCGGCCCGGCGATGTGACTAATCTCCCCCCCCGATCTTGACCTTGGGGCAGTTACATACAGGGGGGGGGAGAAGTGCCAATTAGTTGTTTTTAGCTGTACACCGTTCTCCCAAAGACGCGTTAATGTGTGCACTGCGTCTACTTGTTGCTGCGTGCCCATTTGCTTTTTTTCTAAACTGGGGTTGGCACTAAGATTTTGCAACTATGCACTTCATAGTATGTCTTGTTCCGTCAAAGTGAGGAGCCTGTGTCTTTGTTATCAAGACCTCTTTCCGTCCCTGGAAACGATTTGAGCTCACGGATTATGTGCGTCGAACCACACCACACACCCCAGATTTGTTGGGCACACGTCCTTCCCAGACTAGTTGTGTTGTAGGGGGTGTACGGACGTACGTATGACATGTGTGTTGGTGCTACGAGAATGTTTGCGTGACTTTCTTGAACTTTCTTGAACCAACCCTCAATCTCGAAAGTGGCTGCAACGACAAGGACGATCACCAAAACTGTCCCCAATTCTCTCGTTCATCCACCATTCGTCTCCCCGTGGTCGAGTGATAATGGTTCTGCTCCACTTTCACCAGGCGAGAACAATCCTGTTGAGGCGCGCGACGTGTTGCGTCCTCCTGGTGGGGTGCGAACAAGGCATCGGCAGATATTGTTTGTTGTTGTTGTTGTCCTTCACATTCAAACCCTCTCCGTGCTCCGCTCAGTACCTTATAACACCTGTTAAGATTCCAACTGACACAGACGCCTTCCTTGGTCACAGGCAGGCCATCTACCCACAAAAGGGTACACCAAACGACACTTATCATACTTAAATCGAATAAAGAGAAAATATAGACGCAGAAAAACAATCACAAAAATAGCAACCAGCTCAAAATAAAGGTCCCAGGCAGCTGAAAAGAAGATAGTAGCTCGTTAGGAGCGGGAAGCCAAACGGTCCTAAACGCCACCCGAAAGAAACCCCCTCTCTATGTCAACAATCATCAATGCACGAACAATAATCGCACGCAAGGGACTTTTTTGCGTCTACAAGTTCACGGTTAGCGGCCTTGGCTCCACCCATACCCGGCTCGACTGCCAAGCGTTACAAGAAACTTGGGGGCGCTCATCCATGCAAAACCGCACCTAAGTTTTGAGTCAAGTGCACATGCGTTTGTTTCTTGCGGTAGCGTGTTTAAAAAGCGGAGAAGGCAAGCGCCGCAGGAGGGTAGGGTAGGGGGGCCTCAGGGGGGGCCACCCCACGGATTGGAGTTCCTACCGGGCAGAATGCAGTGTGTTCGTGCTGAAAATATCAAAGGAGATGAAAAAAAAGAAAGTTTTTGGAACGCTGGGGCACCTTCACGGTTGGTTGTTTCTGTACGACAATGACAGTATCAGCTTCCAACAGGGCCACAGCAAGAGCGGAATTTAGACAAAGAGCAGAGACGAGGGCGTGGTGGCCGCATGCGAGATGCGCTGCGGTCCTACAGCTGGGAACTTCCCCATGCCCCTTTCATGCCGGGAGCGGCACCCCGACACTGAAGTGCACCAAACATGTAGCCTACAAACGAAAGCTCGCCCCCACAGACTCTACATGCCGTTGTTGAACGGCGCGCGCGTACTGCCGCCCTCCGACACCGCCCACGCCAGGCGCAAGAAATTCGAATTGCACGTAGAGGCAACGACGGATGAACGCAGGCAATACAAGCAAGCCATGGTGATTGACGAACAACCACCAACACGACAATCAATGAGAAGACAATCACATCCAGCACAGCAGCACACACCAAGAACAGGACCGCCCCGCGGGAGGCTGGGAACTCTGAAGGAAGCAACCGGGCGACGAAGACAAGCCGTTCTTTCGCCAACGCGAGGAGGTATTCTTTGGGGACCACGGCAAAGCATCATGAATCTAGTACGTAAAACACCCACCACCCCAAGCCTCCCACCTCTTAAGCCGGGGCCTTGCGTACAACATTCTGGCGGCGCCGTTGCCTTGATTCCTCACGCGCCTCCATCTCCACCGCTCTTCTGCTCTGCGTTCAGCACGTTGGCGACCATAGCGTTGCAGATGCTCTCTACCTGTCCGGGGCACCAGGGCTTGCTTATTACCTCGTCCCCCCCCGCGTTCTGGAAGACACGGCGGATTGCTTGTGTGGGATCGGCGGTGCAGCCGCATATCATAATCCGCGACCAGCCGTTGTCTGCCTCAAGCAGCCTGATCCTCTTCGTGCACTCAATGCCGTCGAGGTCGGGCATGTGAAAGTCGATAAACATGCCTGCCAGGACGGAGCCGTGGCTCTGATTGCGCCGTGCCGCCTCATGCATCTCCAGAGCTATGAACCCGTCGGTGGCGGACATCACCTCCACATCAGCCCCGTTGTCCTTGAAAAACCGTCGAATCTTGTGGTCTAGAAGCCTTAGGTTCACCTTGTGATCGTCCACGACCATCAACTTGAGCGTGCGGGATCTAATGCTGCGGACACAGGGGAGGCTTACCTCCGCCTCCAACGGTTCCTGAGTGTTGACCGCCGCCCCTGGCTCCTCCGAATCCAGGGGCAGCACCACGGCGAACAACGTACCCCCGCTTGTGTCTTTCTCAGAGAACGTGGAAGCGATCCCAAAAGACCCACACATAGCTTCCATATGTGTCCTGCAGATGTGAAGCCCCAACCCTGTCCCAGCGTGCGATCTCGAAGCGCCGTGCGATATCTGCCTGTACGCCTCCACGAGGTGAGGGAGATCCGCCGGCAGCACGCCGATCCCGGAGTCCTCCACACAGTATACGTGCCACTTTATCGCCTGGGATGATCCCGTGCCAGGAGCTGATTCGCCACCGGAGCTCGCCATCCACGTTTGGGCCCCGAACCGGCCGGTCTCCTTGGCCCACCAATCAGTGACTTCCTGCAGGGAATCAAATACAACGAGGGATATCCGAACCTTTCCTCCGCTGGGGGTGAACTTGATGGCGTTGTTCACCAGGTTCTGCACGATGGCCTTGATGCGCCGCATGTCCCCGGTGACCTCGAGGACGTCGTCCGGCGGCCCGATCTCCACGGTAAGCTCAACCGACTCCGCGGCGGCGAACAGGCCCATGGCTGCCACGGCCAGGACGATTGGGCCGGATGCGGAGAAACGACCTCGGACCACCTCCGTGTTGTTGCGGTCTTTGGCAATCTCAAGGATGTCGTTTAGGGTGCTCATCATCGAACCTCCGCACCGGAGAGCAGAGCGGATGACGTCCAACTGCTCTTCCGCTCCCATGATGCCGTTCCCGGCCTCTAGAATCTCGAGCGCCCCCATCACTCCGTGGAACGGGGTGCGAAGCTCGTGCGACACACGGGCGAACGTCTCCTGCAGGTCGGCAGGTAGAGCCTCCGCGTACAGCTGCGAGGAAAACCCTTGACGCACCATGTTGAGGAGGTCCACGGTTAAAGGGGACCATGCCTTGCACCGCGCACCTGATGTACGCATGAACAGTTCGAACGACGCCCTGGGCGTCATCACCTCGTCTTTGTTCACAGGCGCGTCTGGATTCCCGGCCCACTTGACGGAGTTCGCGATGCTCCCGCGCAGAAAGGCAACGAAGAAGGAACGCACCCAGAAAAACGCAACGCCCCTGGCGCCCAGCGTCCTGAACGAAATCGCCATCTCCGAGCTTTCATCACCATCCCCATTGCGAAGCTCTTGGCATTCCTCCAGGCTGAGTGTGATGTCTTTCTTCCCGTACAAGGTGACGGACCGCAAGTGCTCGCAGAGGATGACAGCGTCGACATCCAGGATGCCTAGGAGTGAGTGATGATCGGCCGAAAGGAAGTCGTTCACGCGAGTGTAGTTGCCGAGGTTTCCAAGCGTTCTCGACAAAGACAAAGCGGTCGCCGCGATCTCTTCTCGCTGATAGCGCGAAATCAAGGACGAGACGACGGAAGCCGCCATTTCGACCGAAAGCCGCTCTTCACAAGACGGATGCACGGTCCTTGTGTAGCTATGAAAGGAGAAGAGTCCCCACGTACCGCCATCCACAGCTATGGACACTACCAGAGAAGCCTTCACGCCCATGTTTCTAAGATAGCGCAGGTGGCATTCCGCGGGAGCCCGTAGCGCACTTCTGAAAAGATCGAGAGGGGATGATGCTTGATCGTGGAGGGTGATCATTGGCACGGCCGGGGCGGAAGTATCCGCAATGAACCTGACACCGACAAGCTTAAACAGCTTCCTCGCTATCGGAGGGATATCTAAAGCCGGGAAGCGAAGATTCAAGTACGATGATCCAATATCAGCTCCAGCCCGGACACTTTCGTGAACGACCTCGCCGCTTCCGTCATCCTGGCCGCTGCCGTCTGGCGCGAAGCGGTACACCATGACCCTGTCATACGCAGGCATGCTTTTCGCGAGCGCGTCGCACAGAGCTGCCGTCGACTCTACAGGGTTTGACCCGACAGGTATAGACTCCAGCAGATCCCCCAACAGCAGCAGCCCCGGTGTGTGCTCGACTCGGGCGCAATCAGATCCGTGCCTCTCCACGTCTACCAGGTATACGCCGGGGTTGCTGCCTGTCACCGTGAAACTAGCAATATCCCCCTCGGCCCCTGATGCTGCTCCCGGTCGGAGCTCGCCGCGGATCCTTGGAGAAGGGCAAGCATCGGCCGTGATTCTGTTCGCCTTCGGCGAGATATGATCATCGTCCTCATGACTGGGTTTGCAGGCTTGCGCGTAGCGCGTGACGAGGGAGCGCACGGTTCGTACACATTCCACGCGCAACAGGTGGCCAAGATCCTTGCCTAGAAGGTCGGACACGGAGCTGGCATAAGCCCATGGCGCTTCAACGGCGTTTTGGCTCACACCGAGGATGCGTAGCCCCGAAGGGTACATGTCGTCGGCTGTTTCTTCGATTGCGAAGGCGCATCCACAGCTCTGGATGTGAGTACTCGCCGTACGCATATCTCCATCGCAGCCGCCGCTGCTTCTCATATGGATTCGTTCGTTGGTGTGTGTGTGCGGATCCATCTGTCTGTCTGCTGACTCAGAGTGAGGCGTTCACGACGAAGATTCAGCAACAATGATCGTGTGTGTGTGGATGGATGGCGCTACGCTCATGGTCGTTGGTTTACAGTAGAAGAGACAGCCGGCGATTCAGCGTAGTCGTTTCATGTCGACGCCTCTCTCAATCAAGGGACAAGCGCGTCAGTCAAGCGTCAAGGCTGTCGGTCAAGTCTTTCATCCGAAAAAAAGCATCACGTGCAAGTCATATGTGGCGTCGTCAAGATACTGTCTCTGGGCACCCAAACGCCGCCTCGCTGTTTGTTTGTGGAAACCCCGCTACTTTTTTTTTTTCTTGTTCTACATTATTATTTTCCCGCGCACTGCCCCTTGCGGCACAGCTCACGCCACACGCCACAGAATAGTACACTTGGTTGCACGCACGTACTGCGCTCGCGTAGACAGCTAACTTCTACTACTGTACTGTGCGCTGGATGTTGCATCTAAGAAAGGGTACAAATTTTGTCTCCATTCATGCCGAGGATCCTCTACTGCACATACCGCAACTGCTGCTGTAGTCTACATACATATCTACAGGGCACTGGCGGGTTCCGCGGTAAAGCCGAATTTATTTGGGGGGGGGGGGGACGCATAGTGACCATCCCCTCCCCAACATTTGAAAATTAAATACAATGATCCTATGTCATACTTATGATGATATGCAAAATTTTAAAAACAAACTCGATGGTAGTGGCCGGGTTTCAATAGATTATGCTCTTTTTCGCTCGCCAATTTGCGAAAACGCACAGACCGGGGATGATGCCAAAATATCCCCGGTTTTGAAAAATCGTCAGATCGATCTGAAAAATTCAGGGTTTGTCAATTTTGGGGCGGGGATCACGAATCCGTCGTTGGATTTGTTTTTCTCGCGTTCTGAACAAAGTTATGATGGGTGTTGTACGTTACACTTTTCTCGCCGCCGCCGATTGAAGCACAACAGAAAAACTGCAAGTTTACAAGTCGCAACACGCACAATCTCCACCAAACCACGCGCTTATCTCCACAAAATACAGCAAAAATGCAAACCAAGATTTGAACGCACCATCACCCAGCCCCTCAATAATATCTACTTGCTGCTACCGCAGAATGAGACCCCAAACTGTGTACCGGTAACCCTGTCCATCTGGCAGGTGGTCGCCCCCTTCCGGAAAACAATTTTCTTCGCCTTCTTTTTGCTCCCGACCACAGGATCCACCCCAACCACAGGATCTACACCAGTGACCATGATGACTGTCTCCTCTACTACCTGCTCTTCGAGCTTCGTGCCGCAGGCCGGGTACTTGCTCCTGGTATAGCACAGCTCGTACTCATGCACGCGACAGGCAGAGCAAAAACAAGAGGCCGAACCGGTGTGCAGTTTGTGCCGGAGAACCACCTTCTCGACACAAACCGTCTCTTTCGCCAGAGTCGGACCTTCCTCCCCCCCCTC